TATGTGCTCGTCAGACCAGATTCCAGGAGCATGTTTAGCGGCGCGCTCCGCGATAAGCGTTGCCTCTGAGACAAGGAAGCTTCCAGGAGTACTGGCGCGTTGTTCGTAGTAGTCCTCGACGTGGGGCAGCGATGTGTGGTTTTCGTCTGCACGGAATCTGGTGACGGGCGCAAACACAACCCGATGAGCGAGCTGGATATTTCCGATTTGAATCGGTTGGAAGAGCTTCGGCGTAGACATTGGGTGCTGGCGAGTAAACTTGATTGAGGAATATTGTCGATGGCTCCGTCGGCACGAAGCTTTTATATTTCTGCTGCTGCGACCGTGTCCGCCGTGGCCAGGGGGCGTATCAACTCCGCGTCAGTGGCTTCCTGAGGACATGACTGATTCCAGAGTACGATTGGAGACGAGCCTTATGAGCGAGTGATAGCTGACTACTTCCGTTGACGCTGTTTTCAAAGGGGGTACCTGAAGACTCCTTATGCAGATGCCGCCCGCGTTTGCTATGCGATGGTGCTGAACCAGCGTGCTGATTAAAACACAGAACGTCCTTGCTAAGTTGCCCGATTCTCGGCCGACAAGCTGATTCAGCCGACAAATTGCTGAACAGAGGAGCGAGAGGACAAAAGCCCACGCTGACAAGTCTGGAGCGCGAGGTGTAGCTGCGCCGCATCGCTTCCTTGGCCACCGTAGAGAAACGGGACCGGCATGCGCCGCCGCAGATCCATCCATCGAATGCTCCAGGCAGATTCATCTCCAAGCGAAGCAGCGCGCGTGGGGTCCGGGCTGCACAGGACTTGTATCCACATGCGGAGCGGGCCAGGCGTTCGTCGGCGTGGGGGGCGATGTGGAACGACCTCACGGCGCGCGCGAGTCGGCTTCGTTCCATCAGGACTCCCCGAGGGCGGTGGGGAAACAAGGGACACGCAAGCCGAGCCAGGCGGGTCGACGTGAATGAGACGCAGAAGAGGGCGTCAACGCCGCCCGCCTCAGTGCGCGACAGGGGAGCCGGGACACGGACAGGCGTATGGATGGCAGCGTACGTGCTTCGGCCTTCGCTGGATCCCGATCCTGATATCTTGTACACAAAAGGCAATTGCACACGGCGACCATCGAAAAATGGTCCCCCGTGTGCTAATGGTAGGGAGTGAGGCCAGGAGCAAGAGCAGCCATCGGAGAAACGGCCGGTTCTCAATACGCTCACGCCGTCCACGGAAACTTCCCCGTCGACCGTCTCCATTGCTCTCGACCATGCACATACGTCTCAAGAACAAGGCGCCTCTCCCCGTGCGCTTTCGGCATGCCAGTCTCCGCAGCCTCGGCGAACCTGGCGAGGATTTTCTGCGCGCACAGCCTCGTTCCGGTAATTTTCCAAATCGAGCCGCCATCGAACACGCGGGCGTCTGGGATGAGCCGCAAGCGCAGTATCGAGGTTGGGCAACAACACTGCGTTTGAGGTGCTGCGGCGAGGCACAACCTCGAGTGAAATGACGAGGTTGGCGAGGAGAGGACTCGTTCCAACGGTGGATAAATGAGGTCCCAACGGGGCTTGTAAAAGGAGAAGGAGAACTCGATGGAGCGGAGTAAAGGGAGTGCAGGTAGGAGGAGTTTTCCGCTGAGATCTAGTCTCGTGTCAGTATCCAAGTTGAAAGCAGTTCATCGCGGGACATACCCCCCAAATGAAGATGTTCCAGCATAGGCGCAGTTGCAACCAGGAGCTCTACACCACTCAGGGACGAGACGAACAAATGGCGCAGGGTGCCGGTGAAAGATTTGAATTGCGGCTGAGCCAAGAGCTCGTGGATCTGGGGCGCAGACCTGTCGATGAACAAGTCTTCAACTTTCGGGGTATGTTGGGAGTGGTCTGATAATGCGGACAAGTCCTGATTGATGACCACCTGGCGAAAGGAGACCACGGGAGCGATTGTGAGGAAACGCAGAATTGTAACCGCTGAAACTTCAGTCCAGAGGTTGACATTGAGCTCGCGAAGAGGCTGGCGCGTAAGAAAATCGAACAGCGCCGAGATAAACGTTGGAGTGTGGTGAAATGATCCGCTCAGGATGCACTGGCGCACATTCACCATCTTCCTAAGAATCTGTTGGAGGCTGTCTTGTAAGTTCTGGATGCTCGCCTCGTCTACGAACCATTCAAGCCTGATGCTGAGACGGGTGATATAGTTCGGAATGTGAGGCGACTCCTCGAGAAGAGCATGGGCAGCCAGAGCGCTAGCTTCTCCAGTGATGTTTTGGTTCAGGGTGAACGAGCTGAGCAAGAGGCGCTGGCTCGCGCCGCGAAGCATGGATCCTGCGAGTGCACATGCTTTCAAAGAGGGAGTATCGTCACAGAATTCATTGACGATGGCATGAACAAGTTCCTCCGGAAGGAACACCATTATACGCGGGTGAAGTGGCTTGGCACCTTGCACGAGAACCGTGACAGACGATAACTGTCGGAGCCCTAGTAGCAGCACCGTCGAAGGGAACGGTTGGGGAACGTCTAGAGCGAATGTAGCTCTCCAAGACACCGTCCTTGTACAGTCTTTGTTGAACGTCGTGGTCTGCGGCAAGTAGGAATCCGAGCCGGGAAGTGCCGGACCGTCTCTAGTTGCTCAACGCCAGCACCATTAACGTCCCACCCGCCCTAGGACATCGCGGAAAAAATCTCTTTGCGGTACTGGTAGCTTGGAGTGCCTCTTTTCAACGCACGAAAAAATAAAAAGGCGGACTGCACCAGGGCGTTTATGTGCTGCTTCTCAGGATTTATTCGCCTATGCAGCCAATTCAAGCCCTGTATTTAGCCCCTTGAAGAAAGAACACATTGTGCGCATTTGTCTCGCTTTTTTTGTCCGCAATATCGATATCCGGTCGTGCATACACGGAAGTTGTCTTGTCTCGAGATCTCATAGCCCCGGTTTTTCAAGGCGTCCGGATTGCACTCGCTGGCAGATAAGGCTTCTTGATAGTTGCCGCCTGCGTACCGCACCCAGCGTGCTCGGCTCTGAACCGATACTCGAGACCTGAAACGGTGGAACTCCGACATATTGGCCGGCTGTGACCACACTAGCCCATTCACACTCGCGCGACGTCAACTTCGAATTCATGCTCAGAATTCGCAGCCCTTCACTTAACCTCCTCGTTCCTCTAAGCTCTCTCGAACATCTCGACGCTGGCTTGAAACTATGAGATTGAATTTTTGCAAAGCAGAGACTCGACACGCCCGAAAAAGTAAAACTAGTACCGAAGAAATTTGCAAAGGGTCGGAAGCTATCGCCAGCCTCTACATTCCTCCATCTTCTCACTCCGCCACCTTCTCCAGACTTGCAGCGTCAACAGAATCCCGCTCACTTCCGCGCCGGATAGGCTCCAAAATCCACCCCAAAAGATACGCCGCCACCGCGAGGCCAAAAAGAACCCAGTACGCGGTACGAATGCCCTTGGGAACCCGCGTGCCACTGTCAGCCGCTTTATCCCACTCGTCCATCCCCGTCTCGACCCCCGCATACAACAACGCCGTCATGACGATCCCAAACACGACGTGCACATGGCGGAGGGGATTCTTCGGTGTCGTCAACGTCGGGAAGGCGCTGCCCTTGGAGTGCCCCGCGGAGTGCGTGTAGTGCGCGACTACCCCGAAGACGAACTGCAGCAGGAAAAGCACGAGAATAGCGAGGCCGAGGTCGTGGTGCGGGTCTTTCAGGCGGCCGCTGAGCTGGTTCCCGTTCCCGTTGTGGACAACAGAGACGAGGCTCAGAGCGGTCCCCGTGGTAACGAAGATGGCGGTAAACGCCTGGAGTGTGACATGCGCTTTGAACCACCAGCTGCGCGACCGAAAGTAGCGCCCGATGAGGATGGCGGCTGGGGCAGCGATCAGTGCGGCCACCGACGTCAAAATGGCTTTGAAAGATAATATCAAGGTCGGTTTGTGTGCAGTGGAAATTGCTCACAGTGCGCGGCGATCAGAAAGTCATGGTAGTCGAGGGTAACAACAGGTGTGTGGGATGGCATATTCAGGAGAGGTATGAATGTAGAGCTTTCGCGAGGCTGAAGACTGGTATCTGATAATCTCAATCTCCTCTATTTAACCACCGCCGTTATCTAATGTCTGTGGGACAGATCTTTTAAATCCAGTAACCTGCAACGTCTATTTACGTGAGCCGGGATAACTGCGACGAGGCAGCCGGCGTCAAAAATCCGTCTCCGCGTCCCGCCTTTCCAATACGACACCTCCAAAAAAATCAGTTGCCTTCGTGAATTCAAGTTCGGGCCAAATCGGTCCTCGTAATGCACGCTTTGACCGCTTCACCTTCAATTCCGTTTTTCTGGTTCAATTCACCACTTGCATGGGCTGCGCTATTTTTGCAGGATTCTATCTTATCGATCTTATCTCTCGATCTTGGTGTTATCGCCGCTATCAGATAACCGCAACATCCATTGCCGCTCCCGCCGAGAGTTCAACCTGCCAAAGGAACCTTCTCTTGCGCGATTAGAACAGTTTCGATGACCAACACGCGTATTTCCTTCATTTTTCTGCCGAGGAACGAGGCATTAATGGCTCTCCGCAACCGTGCCGCAGAAGTTGAACGGGACGGACGAAATACAAGGATGATCAAATTTTCATAATGATATGGGAAACCAGCAGGAAGACACCAGGACACAAGCGAAGACCAAAGCCTCTGGGTGGGTCCCAATTGTGTCTTTTCTCCTCCAAGGGCTGCTCTGAGGACATCTGACCAATACCGTCTCTTGCTCAGCATAGTACCTAGTAATCTCTCATAGGCAGACGCTTCAACAATTTTGAGCTCGTACCTCGCTTGTTGAAACCATCCGTCGAGTTTATTAAGAATGAGCTTTTCAACGATGATTATGACTTATCTGTGGACCGTCTCCGATGGATTGTTCAGGATTGGTGTACAACATCAAATTGCTCGACGTTCGACAGCTTAGGTTGCCGGTTTGCTGGCATTATGCTAAGTAAGGAATTGAGAACGGGCAAAAAAAGACTCTCGACCTGGGAGTCGAACCCAGCTTTCGCGCGCGATTATGCAATGGCATTCGCATGACAAGCGCGTGTACTAACCGATATACTAGTCAAGACATATCAAACAAATTCCATCCTGCCCTTGGATCGGCAATACATCTGTAGCACCGCTGGGAGTAAACCGCCTTAACTTTGATAGAAAGGCACTGGCAAGTGCGAGACGAAAGGGGCGTACGACATAGTCTCTTGCACTGACTTCCCACTCGCAACCTCGTTCTGAACGTACGACACAGCCTGTGTGTGGGCTTTGGTCGAGACCTGTGTGCGACCTGCGATTGAGAAAAGAAACTCTCGACCTGGGAGTCGAACCCAGCTTTCGCGCGTAAGGTTGACGAATTACATAGAATGACAAGCGCGTGTACTAACCGATATACTAGTCAAGACATATTGAGTCGGTCCCAAGTGGAATCTGGGCCCTGGTAGCGAGTGGGAGTGGTGTCTGCCACCAATTCCCCTGCGTGGTCCGCATCCCTCTACGTCAACATTATGTAGACAATGCCGCAGCTCTACCGATTTCCGAACTCTTGTGCTTGGCTCAATTTCGGATTCTCGCTCGGCCCAGTGCAGTCGCTTGCTTTCTCAAGATCCTCGCCTGACCTCTGTACATATTTGCGCCACAATCTTTGCTGAGCGCTCTCATCCCGTCGGGACAAGCCGTTGGATCTGCAATGTATTCCAAAGTCAAAAAAGGGCCGTATTCTGGACTAGGCTGCACCCACGGTCGTTCGGTTCGCGAAGCTTGCTCCCCGAAGGAACACCTCGGTGCGACTCCCGCTCTAGAATCGCAGCAACTCTCTTCAAATCCCGCGCTTTGACCTTGGTGTCGACTGGCCGCGTTATTGAAGCGTGGAATGTCCGAGGGGCCATGCGAGCCAGAACACTGCGACTGCGCCAGCCGTGCTGTTGTACCGTTCAAAATATCTCTTGTTCTCACCCAGCAGCCGCCCGAACGTCTTCGCACTTGTACCGCAGCTCGATATACGCAACTTCTTGATTCCCCTGGACAGAAACTTGGTGGCCGGCAAACAAGGCACCCGCACGGCAGCTCTGGTCGACCTTGCAGCTGCAGTGGATATTCCGACATTTACCATATCTTCGTCGTAGCGCCGCTCTTCGAAGACCTTGCACTCACACCCGTGCCATATTCAGACTGACGGTCCCGCCGGAAACACTGGCGCGCGAAGCTTTTTTGACTGCCGTGGCTCGCTGTCGATCGATCCACCGAGACTTGGTTCCCTCTTCGAGCATGTCTGCCTCGATATCTCTACGCATCTGCCATCCTGGGCATGTATACAACAGCGACGGTTTCTTCTGATTTCTTGTGCAAAGTATATTTAACCGCAACAAGAAGACGACAAGATTAGCATGCCCAGACTTTAGTGGCTTGGAACAATGCACTTTATCCCATGCTTTTTGTGGTCGAGATTTTATCACTGCGTGTTGCGCTAACCAAATGCCGCCCCGCCCCGTCGCAATTCGACGCCACCAAGTCTGATTCTGATACAAGGCTCGATCGACCTCGGTCAACTGTCTGGCGTGCAACAATTAATATTATGGCAAGATGGAGATCCTCCACGGTCTGCTTCCTTCTTGCTACCTTTTGCAAAGCTCTTCTCGCAGTTTAGCCGACCACATTTCCCTACGATCTTTCTTCCACAAGACCATGACAACTGTCCGCGTGAACGGCCTTGCGGGCCTCGCCTTTATCTTGGAACTCATCAGATTTGCCCGCGCGCTCTCACCGACGTCATGAATGACGCGCCTCTTTTGCGCTTATCTCCCGCTCCCACTCCACACCTCGGTCACATATACCCAGCTTCCAGCAGCTTCCTCGCATATGTCGTTTCCCCATTCCCTCCCTATTTCCCCAGCAAATTGTCCCCGCACGCTTACTGCTTTCTCCTTTCCCCGCGGAACGAGGCGTCTTACCGCAACCCGGCTCTACCTTCTCTCCTCATACCCGGTCCCACTGGGTCCGCCTTCGCCTTCGTCGACGCCGGTGCGATCCTCAGGCTTCGTCGCCGGTTTATCGTCCTATCCCATCCAGCGGCGCAAAATCAAAACTACGACACTTTGACTCATCCCACCTTGTTCACCTGCTTGCTTTGCTTCCCCTTCCCCTTCCCTTCGTCCGTCCGACCCGCGTCGGGGAGCACAGTCTTTCTGCTATCAATCGGGCTCGTCGTTCCTCCCGCAACGTCTCAACGTCTCAGCAACCACCAGAAGATCTTCTGGAACCGGCGGTCGACGGTACTCTTTGTCTACGCGTCAGAAATGACGACTTTCTGCTGTTATCCCTGCTAGCCGCTGTCGGCCTGCTCCACCTTCCGCAATGCCCAAGTTCGCCGCCATTAAATGTCAGCCCGCAAGTCTTCCAGTACTCCCCCGATTGTCCTCGTCCGCGCACGTTCCTCAAGCGGCTTCCCTCCCGTCAAACCACGCCACTCAAGTGCTCACAAAATGTCAGCCCGCAAGTCCGATGCTACTTACTCGTCCCTACTCGTCCCCGCGCGTTCCTCAAGCGTCTTCCCTCCGTCAGACTACGCCAGTCAAGTAAGTGCCCACAAAATCACGGAACGAATCAACACATCTATATGCATATATTGTACACCGTTGTAACTAGTAACCGAAAATACAATCGTGCAAAACCCATCTATAGCCTGCCCGACACGGCCCCGATCCAAAATAAGTTAGCAAAAAATACCACTATATATATCAACCGCGCCGCCCGCCCTATATTTGTAGATAGGCGTGTTTGGCGGGCGCGCGGGAGTGTCCGCTTCGTATCGTATCGTATGTATGTTATGTGCGCTTCACGGCAAGTCCGCTGAGCGCATCTATATCTGTCCGTGTTTGTGGGTACGTGTGAAGTATATCTGAATCGAATTGAAATGGGAGGGAGATCGCGCGAAAAAAGTATCGTCGCATCGTAGTATCGTACACGCGCCGGGATGAGAAAGATGGATGATGTACATATGTTGCATGCAGAGATAGAGATAAGATAAAGGGGCAGGAAACCAAAAAACCAAAGACACCAAAAGATGAATGCGATTACACTGGTTGGTGCTGGTGGGTGGGGCTGTGCGGAAAGTGGCAGTGGCGGGCAGCCGACCGTCCGTGCGCAGAGTGAGTGTTGTACAACAAGGAAAAGAGTGTGGTGAGGGGCGCTCGGCCAGCCAGATATGATGAGGGATAAATAAGAAAGAGTCCAGTCGAGATTCGGATCCTCGGTGGGGCGCTTCGTGCGATTGCTTCCGCGCGCCTTTTAGTTTGTCGGTCGGTCGGGAGCGCCGCCTCGGTCGGTCGTCGAGAGCCCGCCGAAAAGTCATAGACAGCCGAAGACAACCCGCGCGCGCGTCCCGCCTCATCGCGTGTATCTGCGGCTGCACCGCGTCCGTGGATCCATCGTCCGTCTGTGTCGTGTCGTTCTTCGCTTTTTGGTGCGAGTGCGGCACGTTTGTTCTGCTTTTATCCTCGTGTCGCGTCGTACATTGTTCGTTCAATTTTCGTCCTCGTCCTCCGTTCCCCCTGTCGTGGCGTCGTGCTGCGTTCTCCGGCATCGACCTAACGCCGGCCGACCATCCCGCACGTCATCGTCATCCCGTCCGTCCTCTCTTCTCTTTTGCACCGCGCCATGACGAGGGCGCCCCACCTACACCAGCCCCCAAGCACGGCCCCCGCCCCCACCGGCGGGCTCACCCCACCACTCGCACCACTGCCGCTGCCGTTGCCCGCAAAACACCACTGCCGCACAAACGCCTTGTACAGGCTCGACGACGCGTCCCGCCGCGCTCGGCGTCAGCGGCGGTCGTCGGGCTCACCGGCGGCGTCGGCGTCTGCGCCTGCGCCGTCGTCGGCGGGCTCGCACTCCCACCCCGGCGGGCAGGCGAAGGCGACATCACCCCGCTCAGGCGACTCCGGCAGCGGCACGTCCGCCGGGCCGCCCTTGTCCTTCTCCTTCTCCTCCTCGCCCCCCGACAGCCCCATCTCCTCCAGGGCAGGCAGGAGCCCGCCCGCGCCGAGCGGGCTCGTCGGGGGCGTCTCCTCGCCCTCCCCCTGCGCACTGAAGCCGCTCGCGCGCCGCGCCCGCCCCGCCTCCGCGTCGCGCAGCCCCTCCTCCTCGTCGTCGGACGAAGACGAGCCGGAGTCGTCGTTGTCGTGCGCGGGAGCGTGTCCGTTCGTGTGTGCGGGAGCGGCAGCCGGGACCGCCACAGGCGACGCAGATGCAGGCGGCGCAGCAACGGCCGCGCGCCCCCAGGGCCAATACAGCCCCACCCCCCGCCCGCACTCTGCGTCCCCCGGCGCGGGCGCGGGCTTCTCCTCCTCCTTCTCCTCCTTGACGGTCTCCTGCTTCTCCTTCTCCTTCTCCTTCTCGTTCGCCACAGCAGCAGGCACCTGCGCCGTCGCCGCCGACGGCAACGACACCGCCCGCCCCGGCGCCGCATAGTTCCTTAAACTCAGCCGCCCCAGCTTCGCCGCCAGCGCCTGCGCGTGCGCCGTGCGCGGCGGCGGCGGCGGGGGGATCGTCGTCGGCTTGGCTTCTGAGGGCGCGGGCGATGCCGAGGAGGGAGCGAGGGTGGATGAGGGGGGTGCAAGCGCGGGCGACGCCGCGCGCGGGAACGGGATGATATTCGTCGCGGGCGCGGGCGCGGGTGTCGGTTCTGCACGGTGCGTTAGCTCATTCATATAACCGCGACAGAGCGAAGAGCGAAGGAAGACTCACCAACACCCACACACCGAAACCCAACCCGATAATCCCGCCCCCCATTATTATCCCACCACTCGCCCGCGCCGCCGCCCCCGGCGCCGACCCACGCGCGCCCCGAGGGCGACACGTCCGTGCCCGCCTGCTGCGCGGGCGTGTGCTGCGGGAGGGTGTCTAGAAGGCGTTGTCGTTAGCATTTGTTTGCTTGCTGGGGGGGGGGAGGGGGGGAGAAGGGAAGGAAGGAAGGAAGGAAGGAGGAAGGGGGAGACTCACCACACCACGCATACGGCCCGACGCCGCCCGCCCTCACCCACGGCGCGAAGAACCTTGCCACGAGCACGAGCTCCCGCCCCTCGAGCCCGCGCCCGACGCCGCCCACGCCGCGCTCGCGCAGCCCCTGTGCGTGCTGGTGCGTATGTTGCCGCCCGGCGGGGGCTGCACAAATCGCAAATTATCGGCGTCAGCGCAGTTTTGGATTGCAAGCGCAAGTAGGGACCCACCAGAATGCGCATAATCCGTCAACCTTATACTAAACGCGAACCGGTCCCACCCCGGGCCCGGCTCCTCCCTCTCCCTCTCCTCCCCACCGCCCTCACTCTCCTTCTCCTTCGAGGCAGACTTCGCACAAAACGGCGACGCTGCCGAGAACGGCGAGCACGCCGGCCCGACATACCTCCC